TAATTTAGATACCTTCTAAATATAATGAGTAGGGAGTCAATACTCTTAAAATAGTACCCAAATTGCGCACAGTACTTGCCGGATATAGGCATACAGAGCTCGTGCAGATGCCATCTTGTGTTGGACTGTTGGATGTCGGTGTGTCTGACGCCACTGTGGCGCGCGCACGCACAGCCTTATATACAGGTGCTTCCTGATAGCTCCGACGTGCGGTGGAATATTTTGAACTAGGCTAAGTAGTATGCGCTTCGAATTCGATGAGATTTAGGAGACCATATTTATATAGGTGCATAACTACATGTACTTACGTTGTTGATTCCTGGAATCCCCTAGCGTTATAGCTAGCTATGGCCTAGGCCGAGCGTGGCACCCTCGAGTCACATAACGTATGATCCCTCGTCTCGAATCCGGACCCTGGGGTATGATTCCATAATTATACAAGTCCAGTATGTAGGTATATACACGTATGCACATAATATCTAAATTGCGGTAGATAATCAAAATATATTAATATGCACCCGTAGATCTATAGAACGCCGCAGTATATATTATCAAAAACCACCTGACGTTGCTCCCTCATTTGACCCCAGAAAAACTCTAATTTTTGTTTCGAAATACGCCACTCGTTAATACCCATTCCACCTTCGGGTTTGTCCCTCATGGGATTCTTTCCCCCATTAACTAGTGTCTGGGCGACCAAACTTTATCGGGCCGCAGGGTGTCGATGCATTGATGTGGCGCCAATAATGGGCGGGTTTTATAGATAAAACGGGTCGCTTGCAACCAGTCGGGGCCGTCCTCAGCATCACCGCCTGCATTGTGGCGCTTCCATTGAGCTCCTCGTAGCGATCTTACATAGGACACAGGCATTATGACTATGCTATTATTTCTCTAGAAATCGCGGGCTTCAAACCCTGCGGAGGCAGGTAGCGAACATACCAAGTACCTCGGCGCGCCCATTGTTACGCAAATGTCGCTGCCGTGTGGGGAATACCCGGTTAACGGCTGCTCGGGTGTGCAGATGTGGATGCGCTAGGGCTAGTTAGCGCACATTGTGCACCACCTTATTTTTCATATAAGTCCTGGGGAACCGAAGCTGATGGTAAACCAACGTCTAGAGACTCACAAATCACCGAGAGAAAAAAAACCGGTTCTCTGCATGCATATCCCCGTATTTAGTCCCAAAAAAGGAAAACGACTGCCTCTGCGAAAAGCTATTTAAATATTCGATACTCGGCATATTCTAACCTTCCTTCTATCGATAGATCTCAGATTCCTTGACGATTTCCCTTCGTGGCTAGCCTCGGTTGCTCCGCTGGGGGGTGGAAGGCTCCACATCCTCTAAGACGGGGACGGCCTAGCTGTGAAATTAGACGAACTCAAAATCCACGTCGAAGAAGAAATGTAACGAAAATCATCACGGAGGAGTGGAGAAAAGGCAATGCGGGTTGAATTGGGGCTCCCCAGCTAGAAGGATTTGGAAGGTGGAGATAGCCTGCTCCAGCTGCAGGTTGGAGTTCAATCACTTCAATCGATAATGAAGATCTTAAGACCCTTCGGTCCTGTGGCTTGGCGAAGGGCGATTGAGCGTGACCAGTTGTCTGCGATTGGGGGTCTATAAAACCCCTCCCCAGGCCCATCATCCAGTTTTGACATCCTGAAGTCGCTATAGAGTCCAGAATCATGAAGACCTCTTCTTTCTTGTCAATCTCATTCTCACTCGCGCTGCAATTTCTTGCAGGTGTAGAGGCCGGCCCATTTCACAATAACCAGCCCCCCAAGGCAACTATCCGGAATGGGACTGTCACTGGTAGATACAGTCCTGAATACTCACAGGACTTCTTCCTTGGTGTCCCATATGCCCGCCCCCCAGTAGGCGACCTCAGATTTCGGCCTCCACAGCACCTTAACACCAAAAGGAATATTGAGGCTAAGCAGTATGGAAACTGGTGTTATGGAACTGGTCGTGTAAGATACCCCAAACGAAACCCTTGGTTTTGCCTTCTGGTTTATCGAGTTGGCTATTGCAGAATTGTAATATTGCATACGCAGAGATTAATATCTTGGACTTCGTAGGAGAACACTGGCATGCCTATGTCCGAAGATTGCTTGACCCTTAACATCGTTAGGCCGGCCAATACCCGCCAAAATGCGAAACTTCCTGTCGCAGTTTGGATCCATGGCGGTGGTTTCACGGCTGGAAGCGCAGCCCGCTCGACATATAATACCAGTAACCTTGTTCAGCAGTCCACCCAAATGGGTATGTTAACTCCTCTTATACCATGTGCACATCTCTGTGGAAGGTTTCAGCTCCATTCTAATATTTTTCATTAGGAACCCCAATTATTGCTGTTACTATCAACTACAGATTGGACGTCTGGGGGTTCCTTGGAGGCCGCGAGGTTGCGGGTACCCGAAACGCAAATATTGGACTCAAGGATCAGCGATTGGCTTTGCATTGGGTCCAAGAAAATATTCGAGCTTTCGGTGGCGATCCATCCAAAGTCACGATCTTCGGCGAGTCCGCCGGTGGCGCTTCCGTGAATTGGCACCAGATTGCCTGGGGAGGGAGAAACGACGGCCTTTTCCACCGCGCGATCTTGCAGAGTGGAAGCGGAATGATGACCCCGATCACTTGGCCCCACACTTTCCAGCTCATTTTTGAATCCCTCGCTACGTATACCAACTGCGCGACCGCAACTGATAGGTTGCAATGCATGCGCGGTGTTGATAGCAGCGTTATATGGGATTGGGCTCGAGCGACTCCTCATTACGTGAACCCAATGCTTGATGGCGATATGATCCCCGAATACGCCAGCAAACTCATCAAAGAGGGAAAGTTCGTCAGAGTGCCGACAATTGTCGGCCATAACAGCGACGACGGTACTTCGTTCACAGGAATCGGGTCAAGGGCTATCAACGACGAGACAACACTCTCCAATACTCTTAGTAAGTTCACACTGATATCATCCCCATGCGGTATTATGGTATATTTTCCATTGATAGCAGAATCTAACTTTTTGCGCGATCAGAACTCCTGTACGAAATCGACGACACTTTGGCGAACCAGATCCTCGCGAACTACGATAGCTCGGCTTCGCTACCACCCGCAGAGAACTACACAGGGACAGTGCTCCCCACCTTTTTAGGAGACCTTTTCTTCCGGACTTCGGCCATTATGAGCGATCACTCCTTCACCGCGCCAAGGCGGATGATAGCTCAAGAGTTTACCGCCCGCAACGTCCCCGTATGGTCATACAGATTCAAATGTGTATCGAATGGATACCCAGCTTACCTCGGAGCGACCCATTTCACCGAGATCGTTTACGTATTCCATAACACTGATCTTTACGACGGATTTAGTCAATCCTATCCCATGGGTGGGCCTAATAGTGCCGAATACATCGCTCTTTCGAAGATGATGGCCAGGACGTGGATTAAGTTTTTTGTTAACGGAAATCCCAACGGAGCTGCCGGGTTGCCTCATTGGCCGCAGTATGGCAGCGGGGCGAATGAGATGGTGTTCGATAGGGGTGTTGGAAATACTTTTGTAGGCAAGGATGATTACCGAGCTACAGGAATCCAGTGGTTCATTGAGAAGAACCCACGTCTTAATAGGTAGTTTCCTCGATAAGAGTCCGGGATTACAAAGCACCTTAATATCTGTAGTAGTTAGGGATAATTATGTAAATGCGCGACGATGTTTAGACTATGTTAATATAGTAGTATCCGAACCTAATTTGAATCCATTATAAATCATAATGCTGCTATACCGCGTCAAGAAAAGTCATTCTCACTTTCTACAAAGTGCACTTAAGAGTTTTTTCGTTCCAATAAAGAATGTACTTGATATTTGGCCTGATATCAGGACTGGATGTTTTTAGGTACAGCGAATAGAAGGATATACATTTGACAAATTAAAAAAAAAAACCAACATTTTGGGTGGGGCAAGGGGGATTTTACAAAGGAAATATAACAAGTGTGTAGTTTGCAATAGTTATCAGATGCCATTGGTTGTAAGTACCAATCATCCTAGTATTTAGCCAGACCACTAAAATCTCGTTCATTTATATAAACCAAGAGATAGTGCTGTCCCATCCGAGGCCGTATCCCCAGAGCTGACCACCAGCGGTATCGGGATTGGTACCACGGCATGAATAGATCAACTCGAAGAAAGCATTGAAGCACGATTCCCAGTCATAGGTCGAGGCCAATGGAGCTTTAAGGCCCCAATTTCCGTTCTTGTCAACACCCCAGATGTCCTTGATATGGACCCAAGTGTTAGATGAGTCCAAATAATGATCCCATCTGATGGATACTTGGCGGCCGAACTGAGGCTTGACGTCGTCGTGGTCGCGCATGTACGTGCACACACCCCCAATAGCGCGGTTGGCTTGGTCTTGCAAAACCCAGTATGGGCCGCCGTAGCAGGATGTGGAGTATCGCTTGTGGAGTTTTTGCTCTGGCTCTTCTGTGGTTGTGGTATTCACTGCCAAAACTTCGCCGATTATGAGCTCTCCTTGTGGGTGACCTGGGTCGATGTCTTTGACTCTGATGATGCGACCTTCTGCTACATCTGTGGTAGATGGGGAGGGGGCAGAGGAGGTAGCGGCGGGGGCAGATGCCACAAGATTTGCTGCTGCAAGAGCAGTTACGAGATTGAGGAATCGCATTTTGGAGGTGGGAGTATTCAAGATATCGACTCCTTGTGATTGATATTAAAGAAATCTAAGGTTTGAAATATTGTGAAGAGGTGGGTGCTTGGATTCTGTTACTCTTTGAGGTTGGGAACTGAGTATTGGAAGTGATGCTGATTGAATATTGATTTTGAAGGAGGGCTTGGGGCGGTTTATATAGACGGACCTCCATGACTTTGAGCTTAACAGCTGTGCTTACAATATAGCACAGTTGTTGATACTGTTGATTTCAGTTTCGGCCGGTAAAGTGAATACACGGTGAATAAGGTGGCTCGGGCGGCCAAGGTACAACATCAACAAGCCTCCGATATGGTGTAGTGGCTAACATCGTTCGCTCTCATTGGGATATGGGTTCCTCGCCTAGTATCCTATGAAGGTCCGAACAGCCCCGGGTTCGATTCCCGGTGTCGGAATATCTTTTTTGCTTTTTTAGACCTTCCTTTTGAATTGTTCTCTGTCGCGATATCCGTGAAAAGTTTCTCATGTCCATTGCTGGACAGATGATCTGTATCGATGAGTTCCGGAATGGAATCTGGAGGGCTCTCCGGCAGTTATCCCATGCTGAGCGCATAAAACGAAGACATATGAGATGTGTTGGCGACTTCCAATTGCCAGGGAGGAGGAAGAATTCGAACTCGTAAAATTTGCATCTTAAGACATGCAGGGTCGAGCTCGCAGCTGTGCAAGTAAGATGAAAAATTTTGCCTTGGCTATCTTTGGGTTTGTGGTACACCTTGGCATCCTGGGGTCAGCAATTTATCGTCAAGATTCGATTCAGTAAAGACGTCTAATATAGGAATTCAGATCGTGTTGTCGACGTTGTACTTCCCTTTTGGGCTGGTTCCACAGCCTTTCGGCTGTCCAAAGCTTGAGTTGGGTCGGGCCTAGGTCGCATGAGGGCCGAAGCTAGTTTGGGCCCGAAAGGTGCAAACAATGGAGCTTGAGAGGTCAAAGCGTCTGCAGCAGCGGCCGGTCCCTTGTTCACCGTCGCGACGGTGGATACTCGGCACTCTGAAGTGTCAATATCAGACATTGGATGAGTTGTTATCCTATTGTACCATTGTGAATGGCCAGGTTCTTCCTGCCTCCGCTCGCTCCCTTTATGCATTCAGCCTTAGGCAATCAATACCCCAATGTTTCCCGGAACGTGAAACTACATAGGCTGCCAGCTCTGTCAAGAGCTGCGCATGTGTCACTCGCTCTGCATCGGCGGATTTTTGAAGTCTAAGCCGGGCTCTCCCACAATATGATTGGTGCGGCTTCGTGGAACACAGGTCCATGGGATTCTCCCACTTGATGATTCATCCGAGTCAAATCAGATCTTGGGATAGAGATTACCCCTGTACTATACTTAAGCTATGTTCTATGCTTTAACGAGGCATGCAGAGTAATCAAAATGTCAAAATGTTGACATTACTAATCCCCCACGAGGACCTGGGGCATGCACGAGCCGTTTGGATTTCTGGGACTTGTGTATTTCCAAGCAACCTTAATTGGGCCTTGGTCATCCTTGGTCATGCTTAAATTTTCGTAGTTCTTGGTTATAAATGCCAAGGAATATATGATTGCTGAATTGAAACATCAAGGTAGCGAGTAAGTCATGATAGAAGGAGGCGTTGTGACACATGTCTATTTACACACTGAAATTGTTTTGAACGCTCGAAAGCTGATGTCATGATGTTGGGTACGCTCAATGAAGTAATAAAGTAGATATATGGGAATTAGAATGGCCGTTATGTACTACGTTTAGCTGAAGCTGTGTATTATCAATGATGATATTTTCTGACGGCAGGTTTTGGTAAGCTACGGTATATACCCAGAAACTAGTCTGCTCCGACAACCGCCTCTCGCGCGAGAAATTTATCCACGGATCGTTATAACAGATGGTTTAAAAGGCTCAATTGACCCGTCAGTTTCGGGGGTAACTCCGAAAACCAATTACCTCGTTATCCGTGCAATGCATATAGCCGGCAAACATAGAAATATGGTAGCCTCGGCATCCAACATGGTAGAAGTTTGGACAACCTGTTCCAGTATGCATGTATATATGTATTTGACGTTACTTCGCATCAAGGGCTAATGTAATATTATCATGTAGTATGCTGTGGATCCAGAGATGAAATAGGAGCCCAACGACCAGACTACAACGTGCAACAGCGTAGTTAGAGTCTGCCTTACGATCGTACGAGACGAAATGCAAGGGAAATGAGAGACGACGGTAAATCCCCACAGTAATACATATAGCAAGCGCCATTTGCAAATTATGAACTTAGCACGTTGTATTTAAAAGTGGTACAAAAGGCTTGCTAGCCATATTTTGGAGATTTGGCACTTGTGACCTCGAGATTGGGGCGTTTTAAAACCGCCTTCGGTGGGCACGCCTCTCGAAATTAAGGATGGTAGGTTTGATACGCCCCCCTATATTCAGATTTTACCTAACCAGGAAGAGCTAAATCTTTCACAATTGTGCTGACAGCATTTGTGTATGTATGTACGCATATATGTTGCCATTTCATTGATATCTCGTATACCATAATCAAATTTAACATGTATGTACAGGGGCTATCAAAACCCCATAGTATATATGTATGTACAAGTAAAGAAGGACCCTCTACCTCGTGATGGCCACCTATGTTTCAATATTTACAAAGTAGACCTAAGACTAATACCCTGACCTTTGTATGCCTACAAACACTGAGAGTAGTAGGGGTTCAAGACGGTGCAGGTACTTCCGCTAATACAGTTAGTAGGTCCAGTCCATCCGATACCTCCGCATTGTCCCCATTTCCTATAAAGATTAATTGTTAACTATCGATGGTCTCTCATGATTTCCTCCTCTGGCTAAGAGAGAATGGTATTGGGGGGTTGAAACTTACGCTTGAACAGCACCACCAGCGGTGGTTGTGGTTGTAGTGGTGGTCGATCTCGTGGTAGTGGTAGTAGTAACTGGGGTAGTTGTAGTAGCCACTGGGGTTGTCGTCCTGGTAGTCGTAGCCAGTGTGGTGGTGGAGCTTGAGGTGGTCGTCCTAGAGGTGGTAGTAGTGGTTCTAGCTGTAGTAGTGGGTTGTGTGCCACTGCACCCAACTCTGCTAGAACCAATAACGATATCATCATACCAAAGGGTATTGGTATCGCCGCCGTACGATTCCCAGCCGAAGTAGATACCAGTCAACTTGGGGACATAGGTAGACCTTGTCCACTGTGCAGCGTTGGCGTTGGTGATCCCGGGTCCAACATTGAGGGCTGGAATAGCATTGCCATTCAACCATGTCTCAATCGTGCCATCGGTACCAATGTGATATTCGAAGCACTGGAAGCTCCCGGTTGGGAGGCCAGTGGAGGCGGCAACGCCTTGTGGGGAGAGATCGGGAAGGGTAGCATCATCGCTCTCACGGTTATACATCAAAATCGAGTTCTGGCCACCAATACGAAGATGTTTATTGGTGCCTAGAGACGAGTCGGGCATGGTGATGAAGGTAACATGGCTGCTCGTGAGGGCGTTGGAAGCCTTACTACAAAAGACTCGTTGTCAGCATCAGTCCTGGCCTGGCATGCAGCCTGGTTGTTGGTAACCAGTTTCCCGAAAGATGTATCCTGCAACTTACACCCAAGCCCTGACGTAGATGTCTCCGCTAGTAGGGATCTGCTTTGTGCCGACGAAGATGTGTCCGCAATACCCTCCAGCGCCAGAAACCTTGATGGAGTTGCTGCCGCTGTGGGCAGTAGAGCTATCGAGGCTGACACTGCCTCCCTGATTACAGTCAGGTGCATAAATCGCCCACTTGCTTTGATCCCATCCGCTTTCAAAATCGTCGGAAATTTGGGCAAAAGAGAAAGGGAGGAGCGCGACGGCGAGAAGAGCTGTTTGGCGGAACATTTTTGCGGGTAGTATGGTCTCTTAATTCTTCGAGAGTACAACAGGTGCGATATGCCCTCTAGGCCTCTGCAGATATAGATAGATATGACAGGAAATTAAAATAATCAACTCCAGGCGTGGCGGAGAGGAGCGTGAGCACCCTTATATATCAAGAGATTGTAGCACTGTTCGCACTGCTCGATTGCATCGATTGTTGCTGTTGTTTGTACTGGCGCCATCGCGATGTTCATTTTATTAGGGTTGTCGTTAGCCCCTGTTTGAATTCATGAAAATAAATGGATTTGTGTTTTAAGATTCGGAAAGTCGGTCTGCTTTCCCTAGTGAGTGAAGGAGAGGTTGGAAAGGGATTAAATATATGGTGGGAAGGCCGGGGTTGCTGTCCCGGCCAAAATCCACGCCGATTTTCATGGATAAACCGGGAGAATGCGTGTGAGCAGGAGTGCAACATCGGTCATTTCCCCGTGGAGCCGGCGTTTCGTCACTAGTCATCAACATGCTGCTGAAACATTGAAAAACAAGATCCATTCCTATTTTATTCTAGATATTCCGAAACTATCACGCTTCTTAATATTATAATACCCTCGAAATCATATTTGCGAGGGGCAGATCTCATATCCAAACTACGGCTGCACCCTTGAGCTTGAATGCCTCCAACGTTGCCATATCCCAAACCACAAAAGGCTCTTTTTTGGCCTAGATCTGAGGTGCGCGTGGGCCAGAAACAATGATAATGGTATGACGGAGGGTGGGTGTGGAATCCCCAAGCTTTTTAAAAATCGCAAGCCTTTCCCGATAGTTTCTGGGCAGAAGACAAGCCTTTCTAAGCAATGATGACCCCAGCTGACTCGAGACTTTTAAAAGTGAATCCGACGGCTAAGCAACAACGAAGCCGGCTGTCATCTCAACGCAGGAGAACATCCGGCTTGGCATTTCAGCTGGCTGCTAACTATAGCTCGCTGGGAGCCTCAGGCTCAGGCTCAAGCCAACTGGAGGGTACTTGTTCCCTGCCACGCGCACGAAACAGTTGATTAAAATGCAGATATGCCTGATATATTATCGATACTAAAATAGAGAAGCAGAGGAGAAATCCTGCGATGTAAATCTTTAATAGTCACATAAAATATTTAAAATCCGATCGTAGCTCGCCACTACGGACTTTTCAGCCGTAATATGCGATGCGATTCGTGCATGTATTGGCGATGAAGCTTATCTTATGCTTCCGCAATAAAAAATGAGATCAAAGAAATAAAAATAAAATCATAAAAACATAAATGCCATGCAGGGAGTTGTGATCTATCGAGACCAGATCATAGAGATGGGGCTCAAGACTTAACGCCTAGCGCTATAGCCTCAATCGAAATGCAGTCCTGCTCGCAACACAGGAAGGTCCCGAGAAGTGTTGCTCCTGTTGGAAAACGCTGGTTACACAGCCCACAACACAGTTGACAAAAGAGGCAACTCTACGGCGACAAACCAAGGCGTGTTCGGGTTGTGAGATCCCGGCCAACTGTTCCAACGCAAATGGTTTTGTGGGGA